CCCCAAAACCCCAAAACCCCAAAACCCCGTTAAGACTCAGTTATGGGTATCAATAAATAGGATAATTTATAGTTCATCAATAAAAATAGAATATTAAAGAATTAATTTCGAATACAGTTAAATATTTTTGTTAAATGGATAGAGAACAAAATAACAGCAGTCATATGGGCTCTAATATACCAGTTTTAGATGTTGATGTATCTATCCCCATAGATGTTAAGAAAGCCGTTGAGACCCTCGGTGGTAGCACCTAAATGTTCTATATGATGCTTGAAAAATTTGAGGATATGAGTTTGATGGATTGTATGCAGAAATTGGCAAAAGATGTGGAGAGAAAAGATTTTAAAGAGATGAAACTAGATGCTCACTCTTTGAAGGGAGCTAGTGGATACATTGCTGCCTCACATATACATTATGCTTGTTATTTCATCCAGGAACATCATTAGTATGATAGATACTAAGAGATGATGGAATACTATCCTACATTACTAGAGGCTGCAGTTGAATTCAGAATTTTTTCCAGATAATTACTTGCTAAATATAAAAGTAACAAACTCTGACACTTAATTCATTCTACATAGATTAACAATACAAAATTGTGCCTGAGCATGAAACCATTCCGATTGCCAATGGCTTCAGAATCGCTAAGGATCCGAAGGATGGAACATATTATGCCCTTTAAGGAAACTAGACTAGTAAGTTTAAGATTCCAAATTTAAATATTTTAAATTAGTCGCTGACAGAATCAAAACTAAATAGAGATAAATCCTAAAACCCCAGGGGATGAATGGTTAGCAAGAAAATCCCGTAACTATTAAATTTCAAATGAGTATTCTTCTTAGGATTCAGTTCGAGGGTAGCAATAGTAGTAGAGGAGGACTACTGCGAATGATTAATCTACTAATGTCATGTCTAATAACATAAGAAATGACAGATAGATGAACTAGTATGACAACTAGTCTATACATAGTTCTGGTTAATTAATGACAGCTTCTTTTAACAACAATAAAAATCGATACTTGTAGAGCCAAGAATAATTTCATTAGTTTAATGATTAGTACGCAAAGGCCTAGACAGTAAATAAAATAGTTTATTATCTTGCTATAGGGATTAAAAGATGTCTCATCATAGAGATATAACCAGTTTAATAGACAATAGAATTATGGAATAAATAGAGGCAACAGCATTGTAGGAGAATCTAAATCTAACTAATTTAGCTAGTAGATGGATAACTTCGGCAATCCAAAGTTTGAAAGTCCTTAGACAAATTCACTTGTAAACATTAGCTAGTTGTCTAATGTACCCAAGGATGTTAGAGAGAGACAGTAGTAGAAGTTTAAAGAAGACGAAGATCAGTACATGCAAACTGAGGAGCCTAAGACAATTAGTGACAGCTCATGTTGTACTCAATGTACTATATTTTGATAGCATCCATCTTGCCCAGGCTCTTAGCATCCAAGGACTTATAGGATTTATTTAATCACCATCAATTTGTTTTTCTATCTATGTTACCAGATTTTATATCGATATTATTTTTTATGAATTAATAGTATAATTCTTTAATATCTTTCTCTTTAGGTCTTACGGGGTTTTGGGGTTTTGGGGTTTT